ACGGTTCACAAGTATATCGCTTATGAATATGATCGTTGCTCGCTGTCATAACACAATAATAAAGTTATGGTGAGTTGCAGGGTTTGAATGGACATTTTTTCGCCTTGAGGCCAACTTGGATCCTAAATATTCAAGAGATGGGGAAACGGTCGTTTTGCATGGCGGTCTCCAGCGCCATCCTGATAACATGTTCCAACGCGTAACGCACGCGGCAAATCTCCCCTGTTCTTGCTTAGGCAAAAGCCGCCGAAAGGTTTATCGCGCGCGGCAGTGGTCCTATAAAGAAATTGATGAACTGTCCCAACGCATAACGCACGCGGCAAACCTCCCTCCCCCTGTTTTTGCTTAGGCAAAAGCCGCCGAAGGTGTGTCGCGCGCGGCAGTGGTTGTCCTATAAGGGAAAGCATTACGGTCGTGGGAAACTTTTATACCAACGAATTACCTTTATCGTGGGGATAGAGCACGATATTCTTGAAACAGCACTTTAGGTAATTTTCTGTCAAGGTTTCAGGCAGGTTCATGATTTTTACCCGCTGCCATGTACCTACCGTAACTCTGCGAAAAGGTCTCAAAACGCAACGAGAGTGTTTCAGACGTGGTCAGAAGATCGAATCTCTCTAGACCGAGTTTAAGCCAAAACTGAGATTTTGCTCCTCTGCAGTATACCTACCATAACTCAGTGAAATCGCCTCAAAATGCCGAAGGAGTATGTTATTCGTAATCAGCATGTCAATTAGCCCCCCTCAAAGTTTCAGCGAAATCCATGATTTTAGCTGATTTTAGAAATGATTTTAGCTTCTTATGTGTACCAAACGTAAACCCAGAAAATGGCGCTATATCGCGCGAAATGACTACGATATTCGTCATCAGCGGCTTTAATAATCCCCATGGACCGACTTTGAGCAAGATACATCACAAAAACATTTTGGGGCCGGATAGCCGAATAGCGTCATCAGTTTTCAGAGTTATCCATACCTTTACCGGTTTTATTGTTTTTTTTTTTGCAAAGTTTGAGCTACGGGGCTGGGGGTTGTTGAGGGAGGTAGGTGGGCATGCTAATTACTAACACAGCGGGAATAGGGAATTGCATGTAGAAATGGGCACAATGAAAGGTTCTACAGGGATAGGGATAAAACCTTAATCATAGCATTGACAGGGCCGGGCGGAGCCGGGTAAGGCAGCTAGTGGTTTATAAATAACTCCAATGAAGAGCTATGAAAAAAATGCACTTTCAAATGTTTTTTATTGATTACTAGCTGGTGGCTCCGGTCTCGCCCGAGGTTTCAAGTTAGTTAAGCTAACAGAGGTGTGAACTTACACTTCTGAAATTCTTCTATCATTCGCATAAAGCGCCTTAAGACAAACTGCCGCATCCTCCCGACTTGAAATCGAAATGGACTTTACCGCTCCTGCTTTGCTTTTATGGAAAAATGGTTGGTTAGCATGATAGGCTTTCAATTTTAGAGGTGTAAACAAATCAATAAATCGATAGAAGGGCCCGGTGAATCGCCGCGAAATGTACGCTAAACCGCTCCAGGGTCGAAAACATACATGTGCGAAGTTTCAGCTCAATTGTTTCAACTGCTGGCGTTTCTAAAGCGAGCGAACAACCTAACGAACATCCTCGCAGACATTGTGTTATATATATATATATATATATATATATATATATATCAGTAGCGTACCCAGGATTTCGGCTCGGGGGGGAGGCGGCAAAAATTTTTTTTAAATGAAGGTGCGTGGCGTCAGCCACGCACTCCGAAAAAGTTTTAGGGGGCTTCTCAAAATTTTTGCGGGTCCCCAACCCCTAAAATCTGGAAAAAGGGGCGTGGCGTTAGCCACGCCCCCGAAAAAAATTTTTTTATAGGGCTACTTTGAATTTTCATAAACTTTTAAAAATTATTTTAGTTGTTTACAGAAATAAATATGTCACTTGCACATTTTTATAACCCATGTAAGTAACTTTCAAAAATTTCGCGACCCGTTCTCGGGGGGGGGGGGGGCGCCCCCCCCCTCCTCGGTACGCCACTGATATATTATATATAATATATATATAGATTTGATTTCGATCGAAGAAGTAAGCTCTGCGACGTTGTCTACATTATAGGCAAGCAAAATCTATCGAGTGCACAAAAAACCGCGTGAAAAAATTAATTGATGAAAAACAAGAGATTTTTACATAGTTTTCGCCAAATTTCTCACCTAAATCAAAAAATGGGTTTGTGACGTTGTCAGCACGAAAATGGAAACCAAAAGCTACAATATGACATGCAGTTTGCTAGATATGGTTTCAGAACAACGAAGAAAAGATTATCAGGGCTAAATGGTCTCGCGCTTGGGGTAGGAAAATAACGCGCAACGTGCGGAAATGAAGTTGAGCAGAGGGTAAAATTAAGGAGGACGGGACATTTGGCTCTGATCTTACCAGGGAAGGATACCAGATCGCAGTGGCGAACCGAAATGATATGCATATAGTTGGATGCGTTTTGATGAGCTAATTCCAAACCTACCTTTCCTTTCTGCTACGAGCTTCTCTAGAAGAACTTATGACCGTTTGAATGTCCATTTAGTAAACATTCAGTGCCACATCTTCAAGAACTGCTTGCTCAAAGACCCTTACTCATGTGTTCGGCGTATGTATGCATTTCTTGTAGCCAGTGTACTCAAAACCATGCCAATTGATCAGTCCCAAGCAAGTTCTTAGAGCGCATCACGCATCAAAATTCGAACATTCTCACACAAACGCCCATAGCATCTTCTGCAGAAGCTCATAGCAGATAGGAAAGGTAGATTTGGAATCAGCTCGGGGGAAAGTAACGTGATCTCATCAAGACGCATATAATGGTATGCATATTGGTTCGTCTGCGACTTGTTATCCTTCCCTTGTTAGATCTCCGCGAGTATTCAACAATCCCCTGCGTCCTCATATGTCAGAATCGTCGTGACACGATTAAGAGCACTGACAGTGTCGCAAGCGTTGAGAATTACTTCTTAACGAGAGCCAGCTTTCGCTCGCGGTTTTCTGCGTAAGATTGAATTGCAATTCCATGTTTTTACCGAATCCCCACAGCTTGTGAAGTTTTGAAACTTAGTCGGATACTAAAAAAGAGTTAATTAAGAAATGCTGCCTTACTTGTACTTGGACATCTGAGAACATGGACAGTCTGGACCGCCTTCGTGCCCTTGAAGGAAACTGCTAACCAAGTGGAACCCGGAGCTTCGCGGTCACCTGTTCGACACACCAGTTCTCCAGGCGCTGTGTTACGCAGCTAAGACTTGGGGCAACGCTATGGCCACGTTGTTAGCTTTACCTGTCACTCATAAAGCGCTGCGCAGTCTTCTGAAGATGACCCGGAACAACAACATCTTGTCGGACTTCGCAGCACGGATATTTTAAAAATGTCCCGTCTTCGTGAATTAGCGAAATACGTTGCGAAAGCAAGCAAGCGAAAGCAAAACGCCGGCGGTCACATCATGAGAAAAACAGGACAGAAGAACACCAAAAACATCTGAATGGATTCCTCGCGAAGCGAAACGTCCTCGTGAAAGACCCTCAACGAGATGGGCAGACATGTCGTGGGACGGATAGACCAGCTGAAAAATTAGCTGGATACGACTTTCAGTGAAACTTGTGGCGCAGTCACCGAGGACAGCCAAGAAGACGTGGATGTCGGAAGCAAGGGAGGTGGACCGTTGGTTTTGTTTCGGGCCCGTAAGCTACGTGAAGGCGGGCCATATAACTATCTAAGTAAGAAGTATAGGTATACCTTCCAATTGGAACAACGTAAACAGAATAAAGAGACTGTTGCTTAGACTTTTTTTTCTGGAGAGAAAGAGAAAGTACCTTCGATGCCCAAGAGTGCAGAGTTTCAATGTACATGCATTATATAACTGTGCAAGTGAGTAGTCTCAATTGTAAACAGAGGAAAAATTGCTAATTTTCAAAGCAACATGAGCTTTTTAAAATTTTGAAAGCGCGTTGCCATCGAGCTTCCTTCATACGAAAAGCAGCCAAAAAATTTCATTCGTCAACTCTGCCGCACTCACTCAAAAATGGACCCACTGCTCCACAGTATTGGGTTGTAAAGAAAGTTCCCGGACACTTTTGGAAATTCTGACGCATTGCGCTCGGTCGGACTTTGACACCAAGTTTTTATACTGATAGGGAAGACTAAACTTTTCAAAACCGATTCTGTTTTCATCGACGCCAAAGCCTGTTTGATCTGCACATTAAAAAAAGGAGGTCTTTCCAATTATAAACATTTTACAATTTTTCTTCCTGCAACCATTTTTTTGTGCACTTCAAAGAATTTCGTCCAAATCGTGGATGATCCGATTGAAAATCTTGTTAAATTATGACCCGCAGCTGCGCTCGAGTTTTGCGATTTGCGCTTAGAAATTACAAGCTTCGAACTTGTTTTAAACTGCAATTTTCGCAGCTGACGTCGCTTCTGCGGGGATTTCCACGCCTATATTGGTCCAAAATACGTGTAAGACATTGCCCTAACGATGTTCGCAGTAAATCAAAGATTTCGTTTGCCCTGTGCAGAACGAGAAGACTTCAAAGTCACCTACTCGAAAAATGGCGCATTTTTTGGGGCAAATGGTTGCAAGCTTTCCGAAAAAAATTTCGCAGCGGTCACTCAAAAACGTAGGTAGTACAGCTCCAACAGACTTCTAACCACAGCATCGAGCTCCCTGGCTCTCATCGTGCCGAACAAATAGGCCACTTTTCGCGTCGACCTTTTCCCTTTTGCGCCAGCTGGACTGCAGTGAGACGCTGAAAAGCCAACAAGACAAAAATATGTTGTAAACAAAATTGTCTTTGCGATAAAGTTTGTAGCTTCAAAGAAAAACTGCTTAAAGTTACAGCGACTGAAAAAAAACCTCGCAAGTGTCTGGGAACTTTCTTTACGACCTAATTCACTTTGGTGCCACTGCTGCCTTATTGTTAGTTCTGCTGATATTCAATGCTGTGCGCAAATATAATGACACCTTACCTCTTCTTTACACATTAGTTCACATACTTCGTCGTTACAAGTTGCACCCTTTCCGACCAGGGACAACAGCAGAAAGCTAATCAGGAATAGAATCATGTTTGTAGATGGCAGAAGGCTTAACTTCAGAGACTGTGCAGTTATCAGAAATTAGCAATGTCAGCCACACTCTTCTCTTATATACCACAATTTCTATTTGAATATTCAAAATTCATATATTCTTTTTGAAATGGGTTGCACAATGGCATCTTTATAGTTTTGTAACAAACAGCAAAGAACATCCGTTTTTATATCCACCATGCATGCTGTTGAAAAGCGAACTATCAGATCAATGCAAAGTATAGTCAGTCTTTGGTATCACTGACAAACTTTGTCCACCGAGATAAACAGATTAAAAAGTATTTAAAAGCAGTGTTCGGGCAAAAACTCGATTTTGAGATTTTGTGCTCACCCGGGCCTACTCGCTATGCTGAATCCGAAAATCCACATTGGAGAGCGCAAAAACGACGAAAAGGGCTCTAATACTGGAGGGAAATCAGCAAGTGGGCGGGGTCTTCCCCATGGTGAATTCACGCTCCCAGCTTCGGGGGTGATCTTTTTGATTCCGGTTTCAAGTCATTCGTTTGCACTTGATCGGTAGTGATGTCAGGGCGGCTAACGGCTTCGAGAAAATTGCTCTGGAAGCTGGAAGCGTGACTTCACAGTGGGGAAGACCCCGCCCACTTGCTGATTTCCCTCCAGTGTTAGAGCCCTTTTTCGTCGTTTTCGCGCTCTCCAATGTGGATTTTCGGATTCAGCATAGCGAATAGGCCCGGGTAAGCACAATATCTCAAATCGAGTTTTTGCCTGGACACTGCCTTCAAAGCAGAATGTCAGCAGGCAGCTAGCTTTTTGGCAGCCAGTCCTAGGTGGAACTCTCCAGACAAGCGCTGAGATGATTGGCGAAAATGCAACTCTTCGTTTTTACAACGACAATCTCCGTGTTTGAAATATTTGAGTTTCAATGTCCAGCAAACTATCGCAAATGACAGCAGTTTTTGTAATTCTTCAGCTGACTTCCTTCAACTTGCCGAATAATCTTCAAAACTTCAAAAAAAAAAAGAATTTTGCAAAAATTGCGAAGCATAAAATTGCGCCAAACACGACAAAATCCCCAACTTCTCAAGGTAAAATTAGTTTACTAATAACACTAGTCTTACAAAGTAGATCAGCGATTTTCGTTTATAGACCAATTTTTTTAGGATACCACGGTGCACTGTCGTAATATCCAGAAATATTCTGTCTGCAATTTTCGAAAGTGTCGCAAAGCGAAGACAGTTGTGAAAAGAGAAGAAAGATTTGCATCGAATGGTGCTTGAACCGCTTACCATTTTAAGTTCTACGAAGCTAGAGTAGACCAAATATGAAGATTGGCACCTCAAAAAATTCATTCAGAGAAATTCTACCAAGTGGAGAATTACGAAAAGCCAAATTGCCCTATGAGTTGTCCATCAAAGCACCTCCTTCAAGTCTTTAACAGAAATTCTAAAATTGAGCGGAAGTTATACATGGTGAAAGGGTTACAAATTCCAGCAAGTAACTCAGCGCACATCAAAAGGCTTGCATCGAAAACACATTTGCTGGAAAGAGAGTGGAATTACTGGATACTGCTTGATGTGTTTACTTACCTTTACTTCACGTGATTTGCGGCTGCTTTCGAAGAACCGACAAAGCTATTGCACCGACTCAATATGAATAGCTGAGAGTTACATCATTATCAAAGAATTTGACATTGAGGTAAATGGATTTTTTTTGGATTTGGAACTTTTCCCAAGATAACTCGGGATCTGGGTAGTTGTTAGCATTTTTTATGGCAGTCGTGTTTTATAGGAAGAAAACAAGGCTATGAGAAAGAGCTAAATTAGCTAAAGCATGAGACACAAGACTTACATATTGCCGTACATTTCAAATTGACTCATTTTCTCACCTATGTAAATTTCATATGTTTGACTTTTGACAAACATGTACTAGGTTCATACACGCGGGTATGCCGATGTTCTACAAAGTGTTTTCAAAAGAAGTGCCACCTCCAGCTGGAAAACCTCTACCTCTAACCTTTGCAAGAATATAGAGTTTGAACTCTGAGAAACCGCCGAATTTGAGCTTGAATGGATTTTAATACCGTATCATGGCCCTGCGTTATAGCAAAATATAATAATATATGACTTGACTTCCGCTCGATTGCAAGGCTCGACTATGGCTTTCGTCAAATGCATCAAGCCATTAGGGACCTGCAGCTGTTCAACAAAATTTTTTACAAGTATTTGAAGTGAACTCACCGAAATTTGTGCTTGATTCTGCATTCATTAGTACAGTGCTGGACATAATTATACAGCCAGTCTAGAAATCGTCGTAATTTTTGTTCTTGTCAATGAATCTGTCTGAAACTTTGCTGTATTGTGCGCATGTCAACCTACCATAACCCCTCAAAACGGCTTCCAGCCTTGTTGAGTTTGAACGGAGAAAAACGAAAAAAAATCGAAAAAGCCCTCTTTGAGAGCTGGACAAAATTATACAGCCACCCGGTTTTTCTAATCACTATCGCATTCGTTGACTCTCAAATTTTTTTGTACAATTACATCCCAAAATATGAAACATTTGCGACACTTACGGCCTGTCTTCTTACCCAAATAAAAGCAATCGCTGCATTTCTTGCTTTTAAAAGCATTAAAAGTCAATCTCCTTCAACAAACAACTGCTTTAAAGAGTTTCCAAGCTCTTGTTCATTCCAAATGATAATCATGGAATCTACTGACCCTTCTGGATAGATGGAGTGAAGAACGCTTTCGTAAACTCTGCGTAATCGCTGATTTTGACGAACAGACTCCAACCTCACCATAGGGTTGACGCACTTTTGCACCACGAAACTCGATTTTCAAGCGACAGAAAATACAGTAATGTAGCCATTACGACAGCCATACAACAGTGAACTCGTGTGCATGACTGGGAAGATATTTCGGGACTGAGCACTCTGATTCAGCCGCAGTTGACATTCACTGAATGTTGAGTGGAGCACCCCGTACAATCAAAGCCAACTCAGATCACGAGATAAAACCGCAGACGCTTAAAACTTCAAAATCTTAGCTAATCTCATTCATCGGGTGAAATATGACATGAAACACAGACGGAAATAAGGAGATCTAGGGTTATATCGAATCTTCCGCTCGCAGGGAATTCTTGTGGAAAGTATTCCAGGTCTAAATCGCTACCGCATCATTAGGAAAAATCTGAAAGTTGTTGCAAAAGCTGTATCCCCATGTAGACAATGTGATAAATCAAATTCAGCACTTTGTGGACATTGCAAACTGAGTTTTGTGGTTTAAAAGCGTTCCAAGCCTATGTTGAGGTTGGAGTCTGTCCGTCAAAATCAGCGATTACGCAGAGTTTACGAAAGCGCTCTTCATCTCATCTATCCAAAAGGGTCAGTAGATTCCATGATTATCATTTGGAATGAACAAGAGCTTGAAAACTCTTTAAAGCAGTTGTTTGTTGAAGGAGATTGACTTTTAATGCTTTTAAAAGCAAGAAATGCAGCGATTGCTTCTATTTGGGTAAGAAGACAGCCCGTAAGTGTCGCAAATGTTTCATATTTTGGGATGTAATTGTACAAAAAAATTTGAGAGTCAACGAATGCGATAGTGATTAGAAAAACCAGGTGGCTGTATAATTTTGTCCAGCTTTCAAAGAGGGCTTTTTCAATTTTTTTCGTTTTTCTCCGTTCAAACTCAACAAGACTGGAAGCCGTTTTGAGGGATTACGGTAGGTTGACATGCGCGCAATACAGCAAAGTTTCAAACAGATTCATTGACAAGAACAAAAATTACGACGATTTCTAGAGTGGCTGTACAATTATGTCCAGCACTGTATGAAAAATTTAGTTTTTCAATACACTTTGCGGGCCTCGGCTGAACGCACTCGACTTTATAGTCCAAAGGTTACTGAATGCGTGCGAGCCTCTTACAATGACTTGCGGGGCCCATTACCAAGTCAGCTTTTATCCTCCCAGCTTGCTCTGGTACCAATTTACCGGTCCCGGAAGGTATGCTTGGTCGGCCCAGAAGCGAGAACTGAATCAATTGGGGTCATAGCGGCGCCTTAAACCACGAAACCACGCGTCCTCCTACGTTCATTGTAAATAGAAGATAAAATCGTTTTTTTGTTTTTGATCCCCAAACTTGAATTAGGTCACTTAAATCAACGATAAAAGATCTACAACGTCTTAAACTTTCATCTTGTCAAGCATTCTCGCTATGCTTACTATCAAGTGACTATTTTATTTCAACTTCTGCAAATACCAACGGAATATATTGGGGTTATGAAGATCACTTGAAACAGATTGATGCTTTGATTGAAATGTTTTCGCCCTTGAGTTGCTCTTGAAGTGAGTTTCACCCAAAATCCAATCATCAGTGCTGGAAAGAGCATAAAAGTCAACCTGATAACGTCTGAACGAGGCTAATGTCAGGTAGCCCTTTGCGACAACATTTTCAGGTTGGTGTTGAACACGTTTGATTTCACACCTTCCTAAGGTTGGGTTCATACTGATTCTTATGTTCCGAAACTGTTCCCGCACAGTCCCCGCGCTGTGCTGGAATTGTTCCAGAACTGTGCTGCATGCCCTGCAGCAGCCCCGCACGCGTTTTGAACGGCGAGAGTTGTGACCGTTTTTAACAGTCTTTCTTCCAAATTCCTCTCATTTTAGCCTTATTCCTCTACCCCACTCTCCTTTTTGATTAGCAAAACTTCCAACTCGAAGCGGGGCGAATATTGAGCGCGTTTCTGCTCTGCATATGCGACGAAATGTGTGTTCTTGTGCTCGTCCAATTTCTCCTCGCTTTATTTTTATACAGACATACTCCACTTGTTGCAGGAAGTCGCTGCGTAGCTTCCACAGCCATCTGCCATGACTTGGGGCGCGCGAGCAATTCTAAAATTGCGCAAATTAGGTCTTTTCTCATGTTTTCTCATGAATTTCGTTTTTCGGCATTCTCAGCCCCTTTTCTTCTTCGACATCGTTGCTTATCCGTCCTTTCTTCACCCCGCTTCTCTTTGTGACGAGAAAAACTGCAAGCTTGAAGGGAGTTGAGGACTGGACGCTGTTCTGCTCCATGTATCCGAGAAGATGGGCCATCGTGC